GAAGGGCGCTGTGTGGGTAACAAGGGAGAGTGTGGGGAAGAGGACACGTACCTGGTGGAGGTGGTGGTCGGCATTGGTGTTGACATCATCACTCGCTRGTAGTCAAGTTGTCWGGTTGCTTTCATTGCTGTAGTTGTAGGATAGGCTGTAGAGTAGATMGGGCGCCTGGCGCCATTCACAAGAGAGAGCTACATTTGGGTTATGCTGTTGGTGTTGCCCTGTTGGGCATGGACATTGACTCACGATTCTTTTGTATCATTCTCAATTGGATGGTTACTCGATTCCATTGTGCTATCTGCTTTGGCTTGGACTACTTGGACCTCAGTGTGATTTTGCATTCTGGATTTCTGTGCTTCGTCCATATTCATGTTCCTTGCACTAAAGTCACGGCGGTTAACAAGTCGCGACAATGATGAACAAACAGGTCACTTTGGGAGCGCCCAAATTCATCCCACTAGAAATGCTTCTACTCTATTTTTTTCCGCCGCCGATGTATGGGCCAAGTACTGGTGTTTTAAGGCCTGTACTCCACTGCAAGTGGTTGCTTGGCCGCTGAAAAGCATGTGGAAGCCCGAAATCGAAGGCACCTGCAATCAGACTCGCTTTCTTTCCCACTTCGCATACATGCAAACAGACGGCGATTCACACTGGCGCAGGGCGCCCACTCAAAACTTCAGAGATATGGCAATCAAGAACGCAGTTCAGATGTAAACTCGTTCGCCTGTACAATCCAACTCTCGTTACCACGTCCAACACCACTGTTTACACGCACTCAACTCACCTCAACTCTGGATCACCCTGAATACTCCCACACACACACACACACACACTCTGCCTATCATGCTCCTATCGCGGCTATGGCTGCTCTACCTTCACTACCTATGGCTACGCTCCCTTCCTTCAGCCCACTTCGTCGTCAGGCAACCTGCAGACCACCTTTGCACAAGACGCTGTAGCAGCGCTTCCGCATGGCTTCCGCAGCGAATGAATGAATGGCTGGGCGCTGCCTCTTGATTTATACTTCTGTAACTCGTTGGTCTGCTCCCTTTCCACCGGCCCATGGTGCACACAGTCCCTCATGGTACTTGCTTGACTGGACTGCGACGGACTGGGACCGGTACCGCTGACTGCACGGGGTTGCACTGCCGACTCGATGCAGTCGCACTGCCGACTCAGTGCAGTTGGCTTACCACTTTGCCCACTTGCCTCTGGCTAAACGTGAGACACTTTTGAAAGGCCACTTCCGGACCTTCCGGAAGTCTGTGGAATTGGCCTTTCGAGTACTGTAGCAGCTACGACCTTGACCTTTCAGAACATCTTCAGCCACGACCTCTACAGACCTACAGATCAAACCCCTACAACTACACAGACCTACGACTGACAACAAACAACTACCAAAACACAGGTCACGGGTTGTACATGGGCAAGGTAAGGTCTGGGGATCGAACTCTAGGGCCTGCATCTGTGACTGCAGAAAGGTGAAAATCGTTTCACACCAGTGATGGGCAAGACAAAACGGATCCCACACTCACGATGATGTTCGGCACCTAAGGAAAAGGACAGGAAATTTGGCACCTCCGTCGCTGTAGGTTAAAACTTGCCTGAGATGGCAAGTTGTCGTCTGCTTCTCCCACCCTTCATCCAATCCGAGGGTTCCCTTTCCGCAAGGGATCGCTGAAATGAGAGCATAGCCCTCCCCCTACCTTCTCTGGAAGGCCTTTGAAAAGCCATCAGCGACGGGAATGGGGCTGTGGGTAGAGTAGAAACAGAGAATTCTCCATTTTTGGATTTCGGCCAGCAGTGGAGTCTCAAAATCTCTGCCAAGCCTGTGGGGTCCAGGCCTAAGTCAGGTAGGACAGATGTCTGACGGCGACTGATGCCATGTGATTTCATTTATTGATTTAAAAAAAAAAAATCATAAAAAATGCAATTTGATAAAAGCAGGGTGTTGTTAGGGATAGGACAGAGATTCAGAGGTCATTTTTCTTGCAAGTGAATCTGGACAACAATTCGTGGAGGGGTGCATTCGCCGCCCAAAAGCACAAAAAACATGGAGATCTTCGAGCAAGCCATGCCAGGAACACTCTGACGCTGGTTCTGTCAGAGCATCCTCCGACTGGGAAGGTAATGACACCCCGCCACGGCATTGGGCAATGCTCAGTTCTTGAACTGTCTACCCCCATTTTGATGGGGTAGATAGTCCCCAGTAATCCTCCAGTTATAATGGTCTTTAGAGTCTAGACAGCCAAAAAAATAAATAAATTATTTTTGTTTCTCCATAAGGCACCCTCCGGTGTTAGTGGTGCTGATAGGTGCAGGCACCACTGGCACTCGGAGGAGACTCCATCTATTGGTGGGGAGCATCACCTGCCGGAAAACAGGTCCAGCTTCCCATATACAGAAATATTCAGAGATTCGTCTGATTTTCACCTGCCAGCATTGATTACTCTGGAGTCCAGAGGATTGATGGAGCAGGTCTTTGGAAGAAAGAAACCTCTTTAACCCCCTCTTCTTCAAGTTACCCACACTTTCAGACTCAAGCAACATCCTCCTACCTCGTCCCTTGAACTCGACATCTGCCCAAAAAACCTAGAACCTGGATTTCCCCCCGCGCCCCTTATAAAGCCCAGGTTGTTGTAGAAGCCGGACTCCAGACACATGGGGTTACTGACACAGCTATTGGCAGTCCTGACACTCCCTTATGCTCCGTAAGACAACTTTCCCTACCCATCCTCTTGGCAATTCTCCTAGCGCACCCCTATCCTACTATCCTACCTCAGTATTGAGTACTTAGGACTATCACCATGCTATTTCAGAGGGCGACTTGGACCAGACAGGAGTTCTAACTTCTAGGCACCATTTTAATGATTTTCACTCCACCAACTCTGCTTTGTTCAAGTTTATCTATGTCCTGGAGGTCTTTGTCTTCTTCGTCTTCTTCGTGTTCTTCGTCTTCTTCGTCTTCTTCGTCCTTTTTTGGTTGTCAACTGTAAACATCCTTTTCTGGCCGACTACCCTAGAGGAGATAAGAGCAGCTCAAAGGTTGGAACTTGGAAGCCATCTGAGAAGCGGTTAACATAGCCTATATTTTCAGTTTTTTTTTTCAGTGTCAAAGTGGGGGTCCCTGTTAACCGCTTTTGAGCCATCTGCAGGTGGCTCCAATCTATTTGTGGGGAGGAGCATGTGCTCGAAACCGGGTCCAGCATCCATGAAGTAACATAGCATTCCTGCTCAGCTGATTGGCATGGCGGCATTCATTGGCCTGGAGAAACCAGAGGGGGATTAAACCACCGGTACTTCTGAGGCCCTTTTTTCCAGGGCGGGAAATGCCCTGCACACCAAAAGGGTTGCACGCCTCCGAGTACTTTTGGATGCCACCACCAGCCATTTTGCTCCGGAAGCCGAGCCCCAAAAGTTGCGCCTGCATGCATGCCCCCTATTTATTCTTTGGCCGGGAAAAGTACTGGTGGTTTAACTGCCAGCCTGTTTCTTTTTTTTTCTTTTTTTTGTGGGGATACCGGAGGGAACTCTACTTCCACAGCGCAAGACAAACTTTAGGAGATCTGGGATGTCGACTAGCGCCGCCGACGCGACAGGCTTGCCCCGGGTTGGCACGAAACACCGCCATAGCGACCGAGGAATGAGAGGGAGTAGGAACGACGAAGCGATAGTGGGTCCAGGTGAGGTGAAACCGGCTGGAGGGATGGTTTTGACCGACAGCTGAGGGGGCATCCATAGTTGGGGTGGATGAAGGGAGGAGGAAAGAATGAGAGAAGGGGACGATAGTGGGAGGAGATCACTGGTTAGTGACGGTGGTGGTGCCGGCTCTTCGTGAGGCCCGCATAGGGTGCTGTAGGCCATGACAGCGGGCTGATAACACGATACTTCGGAGAACGGGATCCACATTTTCAAGGCAACAAGGAGAGAAGAGGGGTGGGAAGGCGAGGACTTGAGGTTCTCTTGGGGCCCTGGGACGTTATCACGTCCTGGTGGAGAAGGTCAGCCACCAGAAGCCACAGCCCTCGGGCGACAAGTGAATCTGGACTTACACTACATTGGCAATGGAAATCGAGATGGAACCAAAGGAAAAAGGTGAGTGGCGTATTTTCTTTCTGATTGCGCGTGGATTCTGAGTGGCCCGGAAATCGAGGGAGTGGAGGAGAGGAAAGAGATATGGATTACGAAAGGAAGAAGGGGGGGAGAGTGTGTGTGTGTGTGTGTGTGTGTGAGAGAGAGAGAGAGAGAGAGAGAGAGAGAGAGAGAGAGAGAGAGAGAGAGAGAGAGAGAGAGAGAGNAGAGAGAGAGAGAGAGAGAGAGAGAGAGAGAGAGAGAGAGAGAGAGAGAGAGAGAGAGAGAGAGAGAGAGAGAGAGAGAGAGAGAGGGGAACAGAGAGGGGGCGAGAGGGACTCAGGGAACGAGGTCTGCTGTATCTGTATCACGCATGAATAAAAGGGCTGAGGAATCCTCGGAAAAGAGGGGAAAGGATCTCACGAGCGGGATAAGTTTTTTTCCTTAGATTGGTCCATCACAAAGAAATTGGGGAAGAAAGCTACCGAGAGCCAACATGTAGGCAGCCAACAAGATCAGAGATATGGAGTCAGGAGACAATGTATGGTATGCTTAAGATTAAGATAGGTGTAGGCTGTCAGGTACCAGGGGGGCTGCTGGACAGGGTTGGGTTGTCAGACAAAGGGTGCTCCAAGATGGGATGGGTGAAAAAAGCAGCCTCATGAGGTGATGGAGTCCTGGACCAATGAGACAAACAACCACAGCCCTGGGAAACAACTCCTACCGAGAGAGGCGGTTAATGGAAGGCCCAAAATTCGGCGAATTTTTCACCGAAACTGTCATATTTCCCTGAATTTTTACTCTTTTCTCAGTTTTTCTTTCTGCCTGTTATATATGTGCTTTAGGGTATATCTGTATTCAGTTTCGCCGTATTTGAAGCAGTAACAAAAACTTAGCAAAAACACCAGGGTCGAAAAAAGCTTTGGCGAACTCCAAAAGCTACTCCGAATAGGGATTTATAGTGCTCTTGAGTTTGATTTTTTCGTTTTTTTTTTGCCTGATTTGTTCGCAAAAGTTTCGACAACATTGCTTGTAGCGACGCGACGAAACCCCCCGAATTTTTGGCCTTCCATTAACCGCTAGTGGTGGAGGCGGCTACCACTGGGTCGTGCAGGGTGGCACAGAGTTCCTGGACTAGCAGCTTAGGCCATGCCAGCCCTTCGTGTAGGAATGCCTCGTCATCGAGGGCCGGTCTGTCCGAGTTTTGTGAATTTCGGTGTTGGTCGAACCTGTTTTTTGCATACTGTTCTATTTTGTCCAGGAACTCATTGACCACCAAAACGATTGCTGCACCGACATCCATCCAATCAATAGAAGATATATGGTCGCATTTTTCAACCGTGGCCAGAATCCGAGGAGTAAACATCAAAACTTCCTTTGCCCGGGTCCAATACTTACTGGTGAGTTTGTGCTGCGAGCCCTCCTCCGCCATTGAAAATATCTTGGTGAGGGTCCATTCAGTGAGGAAGCCCAATTTTTGTTTGATTTCTTCATTGGCCGCCAGCGGAGGGGGGGGCGAGTTATCCTGCATTATTGGGACCGCATCCTGGGTCATTTCGATATCTTGTGCCCCCTGATCCGGATCCTGATTGTGGTGCTGCGTTGGTTGCGGGGGCTTATCTGCGGCTGTAGTGTCCATGTCCTGTGGTTTCTGTGTATCCTCCTTGCCGTGCGAGAGGTCGGCTGCCTCTAGTAGGGGGCAGTTCAGTGTTTTAGGCTGCTGTTGCTGTTGTTGTAGGATGAGTTCCTGCTGGCAGCACAGTTGTTGTTGCCACTGCATGTGCAAGTGCTGCAATACTTGTTGTTGTTGCAGTGCCCGTTGTTGTTGTTGGTGGTGGTGGTACTGCGCCGGCTGTGCTTGTAAGAAGAGGTGGATTTGATTTTCACATTCTTTTCATTGTTGCGCCTGTTGTTGTGCCTCATAGGGCAAGCTATGCTGCTGCTGTAACAAACAGTGTTGTTGTTGTTGTTGTTGTAGTACTACAGCTTGCTCTTGTTGTTGTTGGTGTTGGTGTGCCGTCGGGGCCGGCTCCTGGTGTTGCTGTGGCTGTGTGTGTTGTTGATGCTGCATTTGGAGCTCTAGCACTTGTAGCATCAACAGCTGCTCCTGCTGTGCCATCTGGTGGTGCTGTTGTGACGTCAATTGCAGCTCTTGGTGATGTGGCATTACCCGGATTTGCTGGTACTGCAGTTGCTGCTGTTGTTGTCACCTCAGCTGCTGCTGTTGTTGTATCCGGGGCTGTTGTGGCGTCGGTTGCTGTGTGATCAGTCGATCCTGTTGTGCCATCTGTTGTTGTTGTTGTTGTTGTAGCAACATCTTCTGCTCTTGCTTCTGTTGCGCTTCCCAGGTTTGTTGTTGCTTCTGTGCCAGCTGCCGGTGCTCCTGGTGTTGCTCCATTAGCCCAATCTCCAACCCCTGTTTGTGTTGTTGAAGCAACGGGTGCTGCTCCAGCTGGCTTCGCATATCATGCGGTGGTTGTTGCTGTTGCTGAGGCAGCTGTTGTTGCTGTTGTTGCAACAGTTGTTGCTGTACCAACTGCTGCTGCTCCAGCTGTTTGCGCTGGTGAGGCATCTGCTGCTGTTCCAGCTGGCTTTGCACAACTTGGGCTTGGTGGTGCTGCGTCGGTTGCTGTTGTTGCACAAGTTGGTGGTTCAGCTGCTGTTGGGCAGCCACCATTACCTCCTCATGTTCAAGTTCCAATAATTGGACCCGGTCCAGGTCCCGATGTGGCTGTCGAGGAGGCTCAGGGGGCAGGAATTTAACTTCCCCTGTCACTTGAGAGACCACCATTGACATGCTAGGCAGGTCTGGATCTGAGGGTTGACTTCGCTTCTCCCATTGCCTCTCCTGCAGCAGTTGAGTTGGGTGTGCTACTCCTGCCTCTCCTTGGGGGTGAATCTGCGGTCCTTGGTCAGTATGTCCGGCCAGCAGTGGTTCCGGGTGCTGGGAAGAGGCAGCGTCTTTGAGCTTGTTTAGCAGGGAATTGGCTTTAAGCCACACCTCCTGGGGTTTAAATCCTTTGACGGTGCCTTCCCCAGTTGCTTTTAGGGTCACCGTCCTTCGCAGTTGCTCAGATGCCAATGCCTCGTTTGGGACAGATCCCTTGCACGCAGTGTGTCGTTTTTTCTCTTCTTTGCCCGATCTTTCTTCTCGTTGTTGATCTCGCGTGCCGGCTTTGTCTGGCGTGGGTAACATAGTTGTTCCTTCAGCTGTTGCTTTAGGGGTGGCTTGTTCCCGCAGTGGGGGCAAGGGGGCCGAGACAGGGCCAGTCGGTATCTGCGGTACGTTTGTTGCTGCATGTTGGAGCAGCTGTAAAGGATTGTCATTAGTGTGCTGTCGGTCTTCCCCTTCCGTGGGCCCTCCTAATTGCTGTGCTTTTCCTTTGTCACTACTGTCCACCAGTTTTGGCTGTTTTTGTGCTCCAACCCGCTTTCCTGCGCTCCCTTCCTCCATTCTGTCTTGAGTTTTTCCAGGGGTCCTGGGAAGTTGTCCATTTGTGATCTCTCCTTGCTCTCCGGATGTCTGTTCTGTTTGTTTTGGCTCCGCATCAGCTTTCTTTTTCAGTTTGGGTTTGTAGAACTGCTGAGGGGGCTTGGAGGCGGGTGTGCCAGGTATGACTGGAGGAACATGTGAATGTTTGTTTTGTTTGTTTCCACCATCAGCCTCTGTGTCCCTCCCCTGGTGGCCGAGTTCCGCAGGGGGAGGGGTTGGGCTTTGTCCGGGCTCGGGAAATCCTCTTGTTTGCCTTTTTGTTTGTGGTCATCTATGATTATCAGTTCAGCTCCTGATGAAGATGTTGTTGGCCTAGCCTTCCCTTGCCATATCCAATTTCCAGGGCGACCATCAGCATACGCTCTGAACATCCAACCTTGGAGCTCCTTCTCCTCTGGATACCACCACTCTTCGTCAGTAGGGTGTGGAGTAACAAGGCCTTTGACTTTCTGTTTGCGGTCATTCTTCGGACAGTCACTGTCCGTGCACAGGTGACCTCTGTGTTTACACGCATAGCACCACGGGTCTTGGGAGTGGCTGATCGGGACTGAGAACTCCTTACCCCCGAGGGAGTACCTCCATTCCTCATCAAGGGAAAGGGGTATTCCGGGTCCCATTCCACGGCAACCAACAGCGAATCGTCTCTTTTCCCAAGAAACTGGGGTAGGTCAGTAATATAACCCTTGACATGGGCTATGTCTTCTAGATCAGCGAGAATCGCTCCTTGTACACAGAAGGGCGCCAACCAGAATTCCACCCAGAAATTCGATTTCATGAGGTACTCCGTTTTTTCGTCAGAGGATTGTGGATCGGTCGGGGACCACGCTGCAATCTGCACGTGCTTACCTCTAAACTGAAGGTGTTTGTTCCTCAGGAGCAGTTGTTTGTCTGCTGGATAGAGGGTCACCATAGTGATGCAGTCAGGGTTGTCCACCTCAATCAGGAAGTGATCATGAACCAATTGTCGATCCGGTTTTATCATCCCCAACTTCTCCGTTATCCATTTGACCTTCTCATTGACCGGAAGTGCCCAGTGTATGGGATGAAAGCAGTATTGCACCGCTTTATGTGTATAGATCGCATCTCGTGTAGTCCGGGCGTGGGGTGAGAAGATCGAATGTGGATATATGTATCCTTGCTTTACTTGGAATTTTCTTTCCTGTTCAATATACAGTTGTTGTATAAGGTGGCTTTTGAGCGGCGCTATGGGGACGAGAGTGGATGACCTACGAGGGTCCGCCCGATCAGGAGCCGAAAGAGCTCTAAGCAATTGGGGCGGCGGTTTGCATGTGCCTTTCGATGAGGAAAATGGGCCCGTGGGGAGTCCCCCCCCTCCAGCAGACGCCACTTTGTCTTTCCATGTCCCTGTGTTGTGTGTTTCTGTCGACAATTTGCATGTGTCGTCCGATGAGGAAGACAGGGCTGTGGGGAGTGCCCCCCCTCCAGCAGGTCCACTTTGTCCTTCCATGTTGTTGTCTTTTTAGTGAGTGGCACTGATTGCCATATGGTCGTCCTCACATCGTGCCGGGTTGTGTTTTTTCTCAGTTTGTTTATTAGGTTCGAGATTATGGCGGTCATGTGCCTGAGGCCCGGGCTTTGTCTCCGTTTTTTCAGGCACTCCCGATTGGTGATCAGGCGAAGGGGCAGCATTATTGCTTACCACCCCCTTCATCCCTTGTTTGACAATAGGCGGCGGTATATCAGGAGGGGGGGCGGTCTTCTTACTCGCCACCATAGTCGTACCTTTTGTCAATCAATCGATCGTGGTGGCAATTTTTTTTGTTTTTCTTTTTTTGCCTTTATAATATTCAACAAGGTTTATTTTTAGGTCACGTCCCTCTTTTTGACAGAATCGGGCGATGTGAACGTTAGCCCCTGCGACGTAGACGTAAGACGCTGGGGCTGAAAGAGGGCAAGATGTTGGGCATGGGGAGGAAGGAGGCAAGGCGAGAGGGGAACGGTGAGGTGGAGCTATGGGGAGCGGAGCATGCGAAGATCCGGGAACAGTCACTCCGAGGTTAGGCAGAAGTAATCTTTTGAGGACATGTGTGGGAGTATGAGGGATGCAAACCACAAGGTGTTTGCTGCTTCTAGTTGCGCTTTGAAGACTTGTTTTGGTTCCTCTCTTCCCCCGACTATCCTGGTTTGCTTGTCTTGCTATCTTGCTCCCATGATCTGCCACCTCCAGTCTGTGTCCCTGCACGCCATTGTGTTATCGTGCTTCTTCCGTAGGACGTTCGCAAGTCTTGTGTCGACACTGCTTTTCTGAAATGAGCTCAATCATCCACCCTCGATCAGTAGTCTCCCTCCGTAGCTTCCAAGAACGAAGACGAGTTTCCCAGTCGTCGAGCGGCCATCATCAATCGCACTCCTCCAATTTGTCGATGATCTCCTTTCTCACTTAGTCGGCCCGTGGCGTCACTGCACCGTACGTAGTCCACGTGGCATCGCCACTCCGGTCATCACAACCAGGGCACGTCGGTGCTCAAGGCCCGGGGAACAAGGTGTCCCTCAAGCACGTGCGAGGGTCCTGGCGGCCAGACCCTACTGACCACGGGTTGCCTGGTGCTAGCACTATCCGAGGTCTTCTCCGCTTCCTACTGGTACACAAACTCTCTCTCCTTCCAGGCAAAGGGGGATCTGGTCCCTTTTTTTTTTTTTTTTTTTTTTTTTTTAAACACACAGTTACACACTCCCCCACCAGTGTTAGTGGTGTTGATAAGAGCAGATACCACTAACACCTGGGGAGAGGCTCCATCTATTGGTGGGGAGCATCACCTGCTGGAAAGCGGGTCCAGCGTCCCTTATACAGATTGAACTTGGATACATCAGAAAACAATTGTGGGGTATTCCTGCCAACATTGATTACCGTGGGATCCAGGGGATTGTTGAGCAGGATATTGGGAGGAAGGGGCCCATGGGGGAGCCTCTTCACCTTGATTTCGGGGACAGAAACATCGCTACACACTAGTTCCTCCCTTCTCCTAAGCCATATTGAGTCCATGCTAGCTGGAAACCGGGTCCAGCGTCCCATAGCCTGCCTGTGTGACATGAGGAAGAACTGGAAGAAGCCACTGAGGGGCACCAATGGAACCTCCTTTTGTCTCTCTTTTTTTACAGTTGACACTCTGTTTTTTTTTTTTGAAAAGCACAGATTACTCAGAATACTCAGACTGCCAACATTGACTACCCCAATCAAAAAAAAAAAGAGGGGTTAACTGAGCAGCAAAACAGAGACAGATATGTACGTTAGTGGAGTGAGCATCCATATATATTATGTATATGTATGTGTATGCAGATGTATGCGGATGTAAAGGAGACCGGACTAAGTATTTTAATATTCAGGACAAAATCTCTGCCAGGGAAAGGGTGTGAGGTGGGAAGGGGTCTAGAAAGTCCAAGGGAGGGCGTACTGGGAACGAGGGTTCTATGTTGTCCAGTCTTTGAAAACTAGATGGCAGTTTCTCATTTCTTTCAAATCCCGTTGTCCCTTTCCCTTGTCTCTCAATTGCACTATTGCAATCCATCCTTCTCTCTCCCCTCCTACCCAATCTGTGCAAAAAGTTGTAATCCGTCTCTTAACATCCCCAACTTGAGTAAAGAGGTCTAATTGTGTTTTTGTGTCCGACCACCTTTGTGTAAGTTCAAGATGCACCTGCTGCTGAATCTATTATGTGATCTCTTACCCTTCTACTCTCACCTTCTCCATAGCCAGGGTGCACCTCTGCCACCAAAGTGCCCATATCACCACCCTCCTTCCCAGTCTGTACATATTCTCTACAAAGGTCCTGACGTTTCCTGTCGGCGGCCAATGAGCAGCCAATATGGCTTGCATGACCAGGGCCAAGGGAAGAGCACCCAATCTGGCAATAGCATAATATTCGACCAAGACTGTTTGGGGGGACACCCTATGAATCTGTCCAATCCTCGGAGGGAACTCTCTACTTGCCACCCAATCTCCTTCTTTTAGGGTGGAGCCTCGTTTGAGGATTCGATACCACGCCAGCGGAATGACCTCAATTAGGTTGTCCAAGAATTCCTCCACATGGTGGCAGTAGCATAGGGTTTCCCGCAGCTGATCAACTGTTATCCAGTCATATTTCTCGTTATCCCAGAAGTCCCTGACTCTTAGGATTCCTCGTTTGATCCAACTTTTTCAGGGCAGGGTTGAGCTCGACATGATGCAGCCCCTCGGGTCTGTCACCCACCTATTTCCGAACAAGGGTTGCTGGTAGACCTCTTGCCATCGGTCAGGGCGGGTTCTATCTGGGAGTGGGAGCTTGCACCAAGACTCCAATAGAGATGGCCAGAAGGTGTTCATTTCCTGATCTCCCCCGTCAACCCCCTCCC